AAAGGCGAGTGTGGAGCCCAGTCCCACGCAGGTGCTCTGTCTGCAGGTGTGCGCATCCTCACCCGCTAGTGCAATGGTTCTCAACCTGTGGGTCGCGACCCCTTTGGCGGTCGAACGACCCTTTCACAGGGGTCACCTAAGACCATCCTGCATATCAGATATTTACATTACGATTCATAACAGTAGCAACATTACAGTTATGAGGTAGCAACGAAAATAATTTTATGGTTGGGTCACAACATGAGGAACTGTATTTAAAGGGCCAGAAGGTTGAGAACCACTGCTCTAGTGTGATGTTGCTGTAGCTGCTGCTGGCCACCCGCCACACTGCCTCCCTCCTCCCCACTCCCTCAAGGCTTGTGGCCTTCTCTCCCCAAACTAGCACTCGAGGGCTGTGACCCTCCTGTTAGAGTCTTTCTCCTGCTCACTATCCTCGCACAGGCAGATCTGAGGACGCAAGGAAAAGGCAGAAAGATGAAGGAAGGGGGCAATAAAAGGAGCCTTCCGCCTGCAAGGGTGGGGAGCCTTTTCCCTGCCCAGGGCCATTTGGGTATTTATACCATCATTCATGGGCCATACAAAATCATCGACTTCAAAATCAGCCTGTTTGGTCAAACATTTAATGAACTCACCTCTAATGCCTTGGTAGGGCCAGACCCAACGATTTCACAGGACTTATCTAGCCCTTAGGCTGGGCGTTCCCCACCCTGATAGAGAGAGAGAAGGCTAAGAAGGTGGACACTGGACGGGGACAGAGAAGGAAGGAAGCTAGGTGAACCGAGGAAGAGGGCACAGGCAGGGCCTCCATTGTGTGGGCACAAAGGGGCCATCTGCCTGGCAGCCTACACAACGCGCGCGTGTGTGTGTGTGTGTGTGTGTTTGTGTGTGTGTAAGGAGAGAGGGAAAGGAGTGACTAAGAGTCCCCCCACCACCACCCCATTCTCAAACCCCAGAGGCCCTGCTGTCTGCTCTGGCACTGGGGGTGGGGGTTGCTGAGAAGGAGGGCAGAGAGGAGCAATTCTGACAGACAGGACTGGAGGGCCAGGGCCTGCAGTAGCCAGGGATGGGAGAGGGCGCGGACAGCTGCAAAGGGTATGACCTGATGAGAAGGGGCTGGAAGAGGAAGGGAGGGAGGAGGGGCCAGAGCCCTCCTAGCCTGGTGCCCCAAACCGCCCCTGCCTCACCCCACTGGCCCTCACCCTTGCTGGGTTTTGGAGGATGTGAAATGAGGGCCCCAAGAGGGCCTGCCATTCTAGCCTTCCCTTCCTCCCTTGTCCTGGTCTGCTGGCCCCAGAGCTCTCTTTCCCCTTCTCCCTCAGCCTGGGACTTCATCTCCCTGACAGTCCTCTCCCAGCGCCTGGTCCCTCTCCCTTCCCCCTCTCTCTTCCCCCTCTCACTTCCCACCTCCTTCCTCGCCCCGTCCTTCAGAGCCCAACAACAGCGAGGCCAATTGATTATCTGAAGAAATTCGGAGCTAGCAGTAGAACAGCTGCAGCTGCCACCTCTTACCACCCCCAGGCCCTCAGGGATCCCTAAGGAGGGGGCCTGTAACCCCTTCTGCTTTCCAGCCTGGCAGAGTGAAGAGTGAGGGGGGAAGGGAGCTCAGGGGACTATGGTTGCTATGCAGGGGGAGGCACAAAGCACTCAGGGCCAGGAATGGAAGAACCAGGTTCTAGTCCCAGCCCGCCATCGTGTGTGAGTCCTATGAGCCTTGTGGATAGCAGTAACCTGCCTTTAAAACAAAGGTGTCAGGTCCTAGCCGGTTTGGCTCAGTGGATAGAGAGTCGGCCTGCAGACTCAAGGGTCCCAGGTTCGATTCCGGTCAAGGGCATGTACCTTGGTTGCGGGCACATTCCCAGTACGGGGTGTGCAGGAGGCAGCTGATCGGGGTTTCTCTCTCATCGATGTTTCCAGCTCTCTATCCCTCTCCCTTCCTTTCTGTGAAAAATCAATAAAATATATTTTAAAAAAAAAGAAAGGTGTCGGATGCAATGCTTTCTGTGCTCCCTTCCCACTCTTGCCCCTGTAGTCCTCTCAGTCTCTCTGGCCTCCCTCTTGTCATGTTCTGGGCAGAGCACATGTCAGTCTAACTCAGATGGGGAAGAGAAGATATCAACTCTCCTCTCGAAGTCTAACTCAGACCCTTCTTGCTGCTGATGCCGTTCATCCTGAGCTCATCACAGATGAAAATGGCGCCCTTCAGCAATGGAGGACACCTTAGAATTCCCCTCCCGCTGTCTGCCTTCAGCCTTCTCAGGTGATCTCACGTTTGAAAAGGATCTTGACGACCAAGGCAGGAATGTGCTCGGGGGTATCACTGCCTGCCCACTGGAGCCTTTCTCCTTGAGACTGGTCCTTCCATGGCGGAGCAGTTTTTCTTCCAAGTGCAACAGTCTTTCTTGCAGTAAAATCTGTCTCCTGTAACTGTCACCTACTGGTCCTGGTTCTGACTCCTGGGACCACACTGAATGTCTGCTTTTGTTTCTTTTTTGTTTGTTTGCTTGTTGGTTTTCAATATTTGAAGATGGGTAGCATGTTGCCTCTAAATCTACTCTTGTAAAGACACATATCCTCAGTTTTTTAACTATTCCTCCTGTGAGGTCTCCAGGCCTTTAGCCTTCTTGACCACACGACTCTGAATACTCCCTAGTTTATCCATGTTCCATTAAAATATGGGGTCCGTAAAGTGCCACCTGGCATTTCAGGGAGGCAGAGGGGCCTGGGGTATAGAACATAGAGAACCTGGGTTTGAACTTTATCTCTGCCCACAAGTAGCTGTGTGACCTTGGGCAAAGCCCTCCTCCTCTCTGGGCGTTAGTTTCCTCAGCTAGAAGTTGATTTCGGGTGCCTCCCAGGACTCCTCTGGTAGTCCTCCGTATTACTCTCTTAGTCTTGGTCCATTGTGTTCTCCCCAGTATCCTGAGGTGTGGATACATGAGGCAAGAACTGAGATCACAAGGAATTTTGACCCAGTTTAGAGACAACACCAGGGAAGACAGTGTTTCATTCCGCGGCTTTTCCCAGGAGCGTGGACCCACAGATACATATTGAACTTGGGTTCCATGGGGACACTCAGCTCCTTCTCAGACCCATTGGGAGCAGGAGCAGAAGCACATCAGAGAGATCAGAAAGTGTCACTCGATGAGTGCCCAACATGGGGGTCCATGAGGCTTTAGGTGGGGAGGTCTGGGACCTGGGTGTTACACCTTCCTCTGCACCCCTTTACTCTGTGACCCCTTCTTCTTCCTCTCCTCATTTGCCCACCAGACCGCGCTCTCAAGGCCTCATCAGAAGAGCCGTCAAGGCCTGGAACCCACTGTGCCCACCCTACCATAACCTGCAGGCCAACTTCCCAGCCTATTCAAATGATCCAAGCCATACCTGGTGGTAGAACGAGGTCACTTTAATTTTTCCTTTTGTATGAAATCGGAAATGCAACAGGACATAGGACACAGACCCCTAGGGCCCACTCTTGGGGGTAGTAGGGAACAGGGTGGGATTGGGGGAAGGCTGGAGAGAGAAAAGAGGCTGGTGGGACAGGATGGGGTTGTCTGGGAATCGAGGGAGCTGAAGAAGGAACTGGAACCCCTGGAGCTGGGGGAGGGGCACCATCCCAGAGGACTAGGGTGACAGACAGATGGGTCTGGGGAGGGATATGGGGTGTCATGAGCAAAGGGGATCCCCACACACACCTGCAGTTGCAGAAGGAGCACGAAAGGGAAAGGAATAATCAGGGAAGAAGCAAGAGAGACCTGGCCAGGGCTTCCAGGAACCTCCTCCCCCTACCCCAAAGTGCACAACTTGGCAATAAATAGTAATATTTATAAATAAATAAGTAAATAAATAGATGAATAAATAAATACATAAATAAATATCCTTGTAGAGCTAGCAGTTTGGTGCGAGGGAGGAGCATGCTGAGTGCAGTGAGCTCCTTGCTTTTGCACAGGTCCTAGGGCCCTTGTTCTACTGCTGACCCCAGGCTCCGGTGAGCACGTGGGGCTCAGTGACAGGTTACAGGGGGAGTGGGGGCAGAGCGCTGGAGGTGGGGTGGGTGAGGGTCACTTCCCTTGCTGAAGGCAGTTTAAGGAAGGAGGGCGGGAGATGATAAACAGGCCCTAGGACCAAGAGAGCTGAGTATTCCCAGAGGGCCATGAGGAGGCACCCTCTGCACCCCAGGGAGGACCTGATGTGGTTTGCACATTTTCGTGGTGGGCTGGGATGCAGGAAGCAGAGGTGAGCTCTGGCCCACCCATTCCCTGGGATGAGTTTGGGGACATCATCCCCTGCCCCAGGATCCAGGCTGGCCTTTCTCTAGCTCTGCACCCAGGGAGGGAGAAAACTGGGAAGGTGGGAGTGGGAGGGGCCGAGGAGGAGGAGCAAATAACTCAGAGAGGGCAAGGCACTCTCTACCGAGTAAGATCAAGGCCAGCATCCTCAGGAACAAGATAGAGAACAGGAAGACCTTCCCCCCAACATCAGCTACTGGGACTCCCCGCCACCGAGATGATGTCATCTCCGCAGGCCCCTCTGCCAATCTAGACTGAGATCTCGGAGGAAGAAACCCACCCCTTCCTGTTCTGATGTTACCTCTCTACCATGGGCAGGAGGCGCTGAAACAGGGTGGAAAGAGGATGGGAGGGGGGCGGGGGCGTGTCTGGGTCTCTGGAAATCTGTACCTGGGATAGAAGAGGGAGCAGCCATTGAGAGAGCTAGGGGACCCAATGTGTGGTGAGCTTAGTAAATCCAACAAGGACTGGACACTGACCGCCCCTCCCCACTGACACTTCTAACAGCTGGGGCCCAACCACACACTGAGAAGGTGCCCCGAGAGCAGCCCTGGGATGCTGGGTCGGTCACTACCCGTGGGGACATCATCCCCTACCCCAGGCCTGGGGGCTCCATGCCAGGGCACAGGGCTCAGGAGAGAGGTGTCTGGTCTAGTCAGTGGGCGAGGAGAAGGGACCTGGGGGGGCCCGGGGAGGGGTGCGCCCCGGCCGCCTTCAGACATCCAGCACGTGGTTCAGGTAGGAAATGTAGCAGATGGCCAGGCGCAGGATCTCAATCTTGGAGAGCTTCTTGTCCGGGGGCAGCGTGGGCAGCAGCTTGCGCAGCTCAGCGAAGGCCAGGTTGAAGGCCTCCACGCGGATCCTCTCCCGCGTGGCGTGGGCCGTGCGGTACTTGGCTGTGGCCCTGC